TTCTGTGAGTATCATTTCTGAAATATGTATCCTTCGAAAAAAACTACATATAATGTAATTTCGATGCAAAACTATAATATACATAAATATAATGTCGCATAAAGATTTTATACTATTTTTAAAGTATTTAAAGTGTCCTATCAATGGTGTGTAATTAATTTATTTGTTAGATTTTTCACGTTACATCATCTACGTGCAACATCGACGAACTCGTGTTATATTTTGTAATAACAATAATTGCTTTTATATATATGTTTTGGGCTAATTTTATAGGTCAAGAAATTACAGATCACTATAATGACGTATTTATGACTGTGTAAGAAAAATGTTTATTATACATCCACAATTTCTCGGTAGTGTACTGAAAAACAATTCACAATATTTAGAAATATGTGACGTATGTCGATATACTTTTATAAAAAACTAAATACATTTATAATTATTTTGTTGTTTGGTTATACCACCTCATTCTAATTCTCAATATAATTAACATATGTAGATATCAAATTCCGTGGTATATATTTCCTCTGCATCTTCAAAAATTAATAGTTCTNCTATTACAAAGAGGTAACAAGACATTTGGTTTGAATGTCGGTGGATTGTTTATAGCATCCCTACAATGTTTCGCCACGGTAAAAATATTCAATATATGTTACACTAAATGGTATATTCTTTAAAAAAGACAAAAACTAGACAAATAGTTTATGTTTTAGTTGTTAAACGCATCGGTATCTTATTTTACTGTGATGTACTCCACGCAATAGTGAATAATAGATGTCGGTAATATACGTGTCAATAATGTGTATGAAATAGTCATTACTGCAAATAAACCAACTGTCTTTGAAGCGCTTGTGTTTTTTTTAGTTACAACATGTAGTTTTACATAAAAGATACTCATAAGTTCGATTAAAAAACTTACTAAACATCGTATTACACAAATACAAAATCATGATTTGTTACTTCTTCGTATTGTACCTACATTTCTTTACAATGACCAATTGTGTAGCAGCATCGTATCTTCTAAGAGAGAAACATATCTTACAAGCGCATATAGAAAACTGGATCATGTGTAATCACAACTTGGAAAAAATTGATGTGCGCGTGCGCTACTTTTACATCACAACTTGTTGCGTGAACATTATTCTATGTATGAGAAAGAAACACCTGGTCAATGTCTTTCGTCGTTTTATCGATTGCTTAAGAGAAGAGTGCGTCTCAAAGTGTGAAATTGCAAGTGTTCCGATCTTATGGGGTTATTGCTATACTATTACGATACTTCCTACGGGATTTAGGCTGAATTAGAAAAAGAGTTAGGAGTAAAATACAAAATGACAAAATTACTTAAAAGGTAAAACGTATGAAAACTATTTTCTCATATAGTGAAAAATACTGTAAAGTAAGAANAAAAATGACTTTATCGTTTTTTCTTTCACTTCTGCCATACGTATTGCAAGTCAAGGAATGATCAATGTCAAGGATAGGTATTTCAGTTTGAATCGGATTCTCTTGCACACTGTCAGTTTGTGGCCTTATCAAGACTCGAAACTTGACCGTCTTCAGTCACGCATCATTTACATTATCCTGATAACTGGTATTATNTTCCAGGTATATTTTATACTATTATTTTTGTGTTTTGATATTATATATTGTCACTCGTATATTATCATAAACAGGATTTGAAATTGTATTATTTCTCAAAGAAGAATTATTTGTAGCTTACGTCACTTCTTACTATGAATTGTACTACTGATCTTTATATCAAGATTTTATCTGTCGCTTCCCCTTCTATTGGCGTGTTGATTAAATACACTTCGTTTCATGTTAACAGCAAACATGTAAGTATTCGTTGTATCCACTAGTATACAGATATGCACGAACGCATAAGTTATAAAGTTATCAAACATTAGCAAGTTTTTCTTACTTTGTGAAATAAGTGCAACTTTGTTTCTACATATATAACAGCTAAAATATTTTATGGAAGAACTTCAATGCATTTGTGAAAATCTGGGAAACAATGAATTAACCATTATGGACAAGTACGGAGATATCGGAAGACGTCAGACGGCTCGACTTACAAGTAAAATACTCCTACATTACTAAACGGAATAGTGACAACAGCACGATCTGCTATTGTATTCTGCATCGGTTTGAAGTCTAAAATTACTCAATATGTTAGACACAAAAATATATATGTCGCATGTCGATAGTTGTAAAGATTTCAATGGCTCATCCACAAAAAAATGTCGCATTTTTTGTATAAACAGAATTTCTAGCGTAAAACAAATTGCATATTCAAAGTAAGAAAAACAAAATTTGACCTAATATGCTTGATGTCATAAAAAGAACATATGTGCAACAATTTCTTAAGAAATACACATAGAACTCTTGAGATATAAATGATTCACATCAGTAACATATAAACGGATATTTTTCGCAATATAAATTTAATTTCAATTAGGGAGATATTTGGGATCTCTCATGTACGAGATGCAAGTATAGCATCCTATATGAATTTTAGAATTGTTATTACAATTCGAATTTCACGTGTTAAAAAAAATTTACACGTGAACACGTATATATGTATATATATACACGTATAATTTCTGCACAACACCTAGCGAACGGCTCTCATGACCGAATATATATTTATTAATATAAACGGATATTATTGTGTTCATTATATGCTGCCACTTTTAAATACTCGTTTCTATTATTTTGATATTAGATATTAATTATCTGTTACGACTTTTAGTATTTGTTGTTAGTACTGCAGTTATTGTTTTCGTTAGTCCAGTAATGTCACCTACTTTTTACGTGACTTCATCAGTAAACATGTCTTACGAAGATAAATATAAGGAACTTATTCTTACTGAATATTTTACCTACCAAGAAAAATATTCTTATTTCGTATTAATGCATACATTCGGAGCTTTGGGAATAGGAACTTTTTCTTTGATTGCAACAGCTGGAACGCTTATTGCATCTTTTTACCTTGCTTGTGGAATGTTTAGAATTGCCAGGTAAGACATTTGCTTTAAACTGTAAACATTTAATAAAATATTATTTGTAATTTCTACGATAAAAATATATTATATTATAAATAAGTGTGTGTGTGTTTTGTAACTAGACATCACATGTCTCTAAAAAACGACATAAAAATGTTTTGTTATTGTTTAGACATTTTGAAGATGTTTTTTGTTTTTTCTGTAGTGTGTGCATCCAAGTGTATATTTGTAAAATTTATTATGTATACGTAAGATTATTTTTATTTACTGTCATAATTACTTATTATCACATGATATTGTACACGTCACAATTTCTTTACAGTTTCCGCATCGAAAAAACAGTAAACAATAACAAATATTGTAATATTAATTTAATTTCCAAAACCACAATTTATACAAATATAGTATTAGCCGTTGATATTCATCGAAAAGCTATGATGTTAGTATTGAAGCAAATGTAATACATGTAGTATATTTTTAATAGTATTTCTTGTTTATACAGGTACTCTACGTATTTAATATCTTCTTTCGAGAAGACTTACTTTCTCTTAATCATATTTGGTGTACTTACGTTGAGCTTCAATATCTTTCGTGTGAGTATCATTTCTTATTTATGTATATTTACAAGAAAAAAAAATTTGCAGTAATAATATTTCTTTTAATAAAGACATATTTGAACTGGATTGTAGATCAAATATAAAAACTAAGATATTCAAATTATGCCATCAATGTTGTAATTAATTTGTTAGATTGTTCAGATTGCATCCTCCACGTGCAACATCGACGAACTCGTGTTACATTTTGTAATAACAACAGTCGCTTTTGTATATATGTTCTGGGCTAATTTTATAGGTCAACAAATTACAGATCACTATAATGACGTATTTATAACTGCGTAAGAAAAATGTTTATTATATCCACAATTTTTCGATAGCGCCAAAAAAAATTCACTATATATAGAACTTCTTATACCTCATATGTAACGTACGTCTATATCGTTTTATAAAAAAACTTAAAATGCATTTAGAATTATTTCATTGTGTGTTTACATCACTGCACCTTAATTCTCAATATAAATAACATATGTAGATATAAAATTCCCTGGTATATATTTCCTCTACATCTTCAAAAGCTAATAGTCCTACTATTACAAAGAGGTAACAAAACATTTGGTCTGAATGTCGGTGGATTGTTTATAGCATCTCTACAATGTTTTGCTACGGTATGAAAAATATTCACTGTGTAGTATTACACTAAAGGTAAATTAAATAAAAGTAGAAAAAATAAACAATTGTTTGTTTCAGTTGTTAAACGCATCGGTATCTTATTTTACAGTTTTATACTCCGTGTGATAGTACACGTCGACATAATAAAGAAGAGTTAGTTCATAATAAAGAAGTATAGTAAAACCATGAGTTTAGTACTTAACTAATTTTTCTTAACAAGATTACGTTTTAAGTACATTGAAGTACAAAAAAATTATTTTTTTCTGTATCTATATGTGTATATATCTTGCAATAAAAAATCAAGTAGTTTGCACAAATTTGAAAAAGTAGAACGCATCTCATAAACACTTACAGTGAACTGAAGTATGTGCAGACACATCGTGAAAAAAGACTGAAGTGCGCCTGCGTTACACTTGTACATCACTTGTTGCATGAACATTATTCTATGACTGAGAAAGAACATCTGTTAAATGTCTTTCGTTGTTTTATCGATTACTTGACAGAAAAATGCGTCCCATCCGAAGTGTTAAATTGCAACTGCTTCTATCTCATGGGGTTATTGCTATTATAGGACTTTCTGTGGCCATTTAGGCTGAATTAGAAAAAGTTTAAAGGGTAAAATGCAAAATAACAAAATTACTTCGAAGATAGAAAATGTGAAAAATATTTAATCAAATAGTAAATAATACTACTGTACAATGAGAAAAAAATTGAAGTTACATTTCCATTGTTTTCATGCCTATCACATGTGTTGGAAGCTAGCAAAGGGATGATCAATGTTAAAGATCGGTATTTCAGTTTGAATCGACTTCTCTTGCAAGCAGTCGGTTTATGGCCTTATCAGAATTCGAAACTCGGCCGACTTCAGTTGCATTGTATTTATACTATCTTGGTAACTGGTATTATATTTCAGGTATGTTCTACTAATATTTTTATATACGTGTATTTAATTGTATTGGGGGTTATCAATAACTAACAAAACATTTCATTACTTTTCAAACAAAATTTAATTATAGCTTACACCAATTTTGACTATGGAACGTACTACCGATCTTTACATCAAAATGTTTTCTGTTGCTTCCGCTTCTATTTGCATGACGATAAAATACAATTCGTTTTACGTTAATACCAAAAATGTAAGTTCTCAATATTTGTTGCATTCACTTTTATAAAGAGTTACGCGAAAGCACATTTTATAAATTTACATGTCAAATATTGTCAAATGTTTTTTTTGTGAGACATATGTAACGGTATATTTTGTTTTTATACACTGAAACAGCTAAAGTATTTAATGGAAAAACTTCAATATGTTTGTCACAATCTGGAAAACAATGAATTGACCATCATGGACAAATACGGAGACATTGGTAGACGTCAAACGGCTAGACTTACAAGTAAAGTAGTTCTACATTAATAAATGGAATAGTGAAAACATTGCGATCAGCTATTATTTTTTTAATTGGTTTGAAGTCAAAAATATCGTAATATTTTATATACAAGAATACAACTTGTACGATAATTGCAAAAAAATTTACTTTCAATAACAATTGTTTGACATAGCAAAGTTGTTTGTTTTTTTTTAAAAGAGACTTTTGCGCAGTAGAAAACGGCATGTCGGGGATAAAAAAAAAACAAAACTAAACATGCTTGATATCATAAAAAGTATTGTTTGATAATTTTTTGAAAAGTATGATAGAATTTTTGATAGAATTCATACGAAGATAGTTCAATTAAAAATAACACACAAACGAATATTATTGTGTTCATATGCAGTCATTCTTTCATTTCACGCATCTTTTTTTGTATGTTATTTTGATTTTAGATCTCAATTGTTTTATATGATATTTAGTGTTTTTTGTTAGTGCTGCAGTTATTGTGTTGGTCAGTCCAGTAGTGTCAACTACTTTTCACATGAATTCATCGGTAAACATGTCTTACGAAGATAAATATAAGGAACTTGTTCTTACTGAATATTTTATCGATNAAGACAAATATTTCTATGTCATATTAGTGCATAAAGCCGTAGCTTTGGGACTAGGATCATTTTCGTTGCTTGCAACAGCTGGGACGCTTATTGCATCTTTTTATCTTGCTTGTGGAATGTTTAGAATTGCCAGGTAAGACATTTTATTAAATTTTTACATTTTATGGAAAATGTCTAAAGAATAACAAGACAATTTTATGTCGCTTTTTAGAGACATGTGATGTTTAGTTAAAAAACACACACACAAACACTTTATTATAATATAATTTATATTTATCATAGAAATTACAAATAACATTTTATTAAATTTTTACATTTTATAGAAATTTTTAGGGAATTTTTACATTTTATGGAAAAAGTTAATAAAATGTTATTTGTAATTTCTACGATAAATATAAATTATATTATAATTAAGTGTGTGTGTGTGTTTTTTAACTAAACATCACATGTCTTTAAAAAGCAACATAAAATTGTCTTGTTATTTTTTAGAGATTTGAAAATGTTTTTTGTTTTTTCTGTAGTGTGTGTATCTAAGTGAATATGTATTATGTAACATTTATTATGTATATTTAAGAGTATTTTTATTTACTGCCATAATTACTTATTATCACATGATACTGTACACGTCACAATTTCTTTACAGTTATCGCATCGAGAAAACAGTAAACAATAAGAAATATCAGGATATTAATCTAATTTCCGAAACCACAATTTATACAAGTATAATATTAGCCGTTGATATTCATCGAAAAGCTATGATGTTAGTATTAAAGCAAATGTAATACATGTAGTATATTTTTAATATTATTTCTTGTTTATAAAGGTACTCTACGTATTTAATATCTTCTTTCGAGAAGACTTACTTCATCTTAATTATATTTGGTGTACTTACGTTGAGCTTCAATATCTTTCGTGTGAGTATCATTTCTTATTTATGTATATTTACAAGAAATTTGCAATAATAATATTTTTTTTAATAAAGACATATGTTTGTACTGCATTGTAGATCAAATATAAAAACTAAGGTAAATATACAGAATAGGGGAGTCCCCTCCGATTGGCTTCTCGGTCTCATATAATGTAAATATGACTTTCTTAAGTACGTTTCTAAAAGTTTTAGCCGTCGCTCATTGTTTATAAAAAAAGTTATGATCAAAAAAAGTTTCATAAATAAATTTTTTTTCCCGACAACATGTACATTTTTTGAGTGTTGAAAGCATGTAGGCAGAAAGGGGCTGCGCCCCCCCGCAGGTAGAAGAGCTTCGCATCTCCCTCCTGCTATCTCTCGACAAAAAAATAGAAAACGACTTCTTATTAAGTGTCGGTAAAAATCACGTACTTACTATCGACATGAAGCGACTTGTAATCGGAATTCGTTTTCTATTTTGTTTCAAATAGGGAGCAGAAAAAGGTGCAAAACACCTCAACTTGCGGGGGTATGAGCGCAGCCCCCTCTGCCTACGTGCTTTCAACACCCAAAAAATGTAAATGTTGTCGAAAAAAAAAGTTATTTATGAAACTTTTTTTTAATCATAACTTTTTTATAAACAAAGCAACGGTTAAAACATTTAGAAACTCAGGAAAGTCATATTTACATTATATGAGAACGAGAAGCTAATTGGAAAGGGCTCCCCTATTCTATATAGTTACCAAACTAAGATGTTCAAAGTATGCTCACTGTTGTAATTAATTTGTTAGATTGTTCAGATTGCATCCACCACGTGCAACATCGAAGAACTCCTGTTACATTTTGTAATAACAGCAATCGCTTTTATATATATGTTCTGGGCTAATTTTATAGGTCAAGAAGTTACAGATCACTATAATGACGTATTTCTGGCTGCGTAAGAAAAATTTTTATTATATATCCACAACTTCTCGGTACTGTACTGAAAAACACTTCACAATATTTAGATATATATGACGTATGTCGATATAATTTTATAAAAAACACTAAATACATTTAGAATTATTTCATTGTTTATATCATTGCACTTTAATTCTCAATTTTAATAACATGTAGATATAAAATTCCGTGGTATATTTTTCCTCTGCATCTTCAAAAGCTAATAGTTCTACTATTACAAAGAAGTAACAAGACATTTGGTCTGAATGTCGGTGGATTGTTTATAGCATCTCTACAATGTTTTGCCACGGTATGAAAAATATTCACTGTGTAGTATTACACTGAAGGTAAATTAAATAAAAATAAAAAAATGTATGTTTCAGTTGTTAAACGCATCGGTATCTTATTTTACAGTTTTATACTCCGTGTGATAGTACACGTCGACGTAATAAATAATAGTTAAGTTTGTTGCATTTATAAAAAAAATTTATTTACTAAAAAAAAAGCTGTACATTTATAAAGAAGTATAATAAAACCATGAATTTAGTACTTAACTAATTCTTCTTAACAACATTACGTTTTAAGTACATTACAGTACAAAAAACTATTTTTTTCTGTATCTATATGTGTATATATCTTACAATAATAAATCAAGTAGTTTGCACAAATTTGAAAAAGTAGAACGCATCTCATAAACACTTACAGTGAACTGAAGTATGTGCAGACACATCGTGAAAAAAGACTGAAGTGCGCCTGCGTTACACTTGTACATCACTTGTTGCATGAACATTATTCTATGACTGAGAAAGAACATCTGTTAAATGTCTTTCGTTGTTTTATCGATTACTTGATAGAAAAATGCGTCCCATCCGAAGTGTTAAATTGCAACTGCTACGATCTCATGGGGTTATTGCTATTATAGGACTTTCTGCGGCCATTTAGGTTGAATTAGAAAAAGTTTAAAGGGTAAAATGCAAAATAACAAAATTACTTCAAAGATAGAAAATGTGAAAAATATGTAATCAAATAATAAATAATACTATTGTAAAATGAGAAGAAAAATGAAGTTACATTTTCTTTTTTTTCTGCCTATTACATGTGTTGGAAGCTAGCAAAGGGATGATCAATGTAAAAGATCGGTATTTCAGTTTGAATCGACTTCTCTTGCAAGCAGTCGGTTTATGGCCTTATCAGAATTCGAAACTCGGCCGACTTCAGTTGCACTGCAGTTATACCATCTTGATAACTCTCATTATATTTCAGGTATGTTTTACTACTTCTTTTATGTATGTATATCGGATTTTATCGAAGGTTATCAATGACTAACAAACCATTTTATTATATTTCAAAGAAAAATTAATTACAGCTTACACCACTTTTAACTATGAAACGTACTCCCGATCTTTATATCAAAATTTTTTCTATCGCTTCTGCTTCTATTTGCGTGACGATAAAATACAATTCGTTTTACGTTAACACCGAAAATGTAAGTTCCTAATAATTGTTGCATTCAATTTGTCAAAGTGTTACACAAAAGCACATTTTATAACTTTACATGGTAAATATTTTCAAATTTGTTCTTTGTGAGGCAAGTGCAACGGTAAATTATGTTTTTGTACACTCAAACAGCTAAAGTATTTAACGGAAGAACTTCAATATGTTTGTCAAAATCTGGAAAACAATGAATTGACCATCATGGACAAGTACGGAGATATTGGTAGACGTCAAACGGCTATACTTACAAGTAAAATACTCCTATAGTACTAAATAGAATAGTGACAACAGCGCGATCTACTATTGTGTTCTGAATTGGTTTGAAGTCAAAAATATCGTAATATTTTATACACAAAAATATACCGTTTGTATGATAATTGCAAAACCTTTACTTACAATAACAATAGTTTGATTTAGCAAAATTGTTTTTTTTTGTAAATATCAGATTTTTACGCAGTAGGAAACGGCATGTCGAGAATAAGAAAAACAAAACTAAACATGTTTGATATAAAAATCATAAAAATCATTGTTCGATAGTTTTTTGAACAATATGATAAAATTTTTGACATACAAAAGTATTTCAAATCAAAAATAACACACAAACAAATAGTAGTACTGTGTTCATATGCAGTCATTCTTTAATACACGCTATTTTTCTAGTATGCTAATTTGATATTAGATCTTAATTGTTTTATACGACGTTTAGTGTTTTGTGTTACTGCTGCGATTATTGTTTTGGTCAGTCCAGTATTGTCAACTACTTTTCACATGAATTCGTCGGTAAACATGTCTTACGAAGATAAATATAAGAAATTAATTCCTACTGAATATTTTATCAATCACGAAAAATATTCCTATGTCATATTAGTGCATACATTCGTAGCTTTGGGAATAGGATCTTTTTCGTTGATTGTAACAATTGCAATGCTTATTGTGTTTCTATACCATGCTTGTGGAATGTTCAAAATTGCTAGGTAAGAAAATAAGAAAACTAGAAATGTTAAGAAAAATTAAATTAGTACATGCCTTTAAAAAATAACTAAAAGTCGAAAAGTACATAAATTACGTACATTTCTAGTTATTTGGATTTAGTTGTATATTCTTATTTTCGTAAAAAATTAACACTTTATACATTATGATTTGGTTACAGTTTCCGCATTGAGCACATGAATACATATCAAGATATCAGTCCAATTTCCGAAAATAGGATTTACAGAAGTATAATATCTGCCGTCGATATTCATCGAAAAGCTATGATGTTGGTATTACCACAAACGCACTTCACACGTGTAATATATACAGGGTGTCTGACAACGAACTATAAAGCCGCCGTGTGTAGGTAGATCGGGTCATTCTGAACAGAAAAGTTATTTACCATTTTGCAAAATTGGCAATATTTATTGAGATATGAATTATTAAATGTAAGCCAATAAGGGCGC